TATACAAATGCAAAGCCCCGCCCATCATTCCTTTGAAAATTTTCATGAATAGCTTTAGTGTGTTGAAAAGTTTTTGAAACACTTGAAAGTGTTTCAAAACTTTCTTTCCAACCCAATAGATAGAGAGATAGATAGATAGATAGATAGATAGATGTTTCAAAGCCAGGAAAATTGGCACACTTGCGGAAGTGACTGGAAGGACAATACGTTTAAAGTGCCCCCTTCCAAGCCAAACATTATAAGACGGACATTCACTGACAGAAGGGCTAGCCCTTAAACAGCCACGGCTCAGCACCCACGCGAGTACCCCGACAGGAATCTCGAAACTATTGTGAAAGGCCAGGCAGTAAAAGGGGGGTTCCTGGCGGAAGAAGGCGAAGTTCTAGGCTAGATTTTTGACGCCTTTCGACCGGCTTTGTCAGGGGGTGCACGGCCGGCCAAGAGCATTTATAGCAGCCAAGAGCTGTTATAACCTGTTTCTGCGGTCAACCTAGCGTGCCAGGAGTACTAGATACAACTTGGAAGTACTACCCATTCCAAGGAGAAACCCAGCTGAAGTCTCTCTGCACATGCCATCGTCTGTTAATGATTATGTTATCTATCAATGTTATAATTAACATACGAGTTAACATTAACATACGACATCGGAGTAGTTGGAGTTGGAGTTCCTAGATTTTTGGATGAACGCAAATGTCACGAACGTGAAAATATTAATATATGCCTTCGATTGGTATTCACTCCTCTCTCATAAAACTTTCAATTTTTTTCTAGTGTAGGCGGCTCCAGCGTGTATTAACATTAATGACTCACGAACAGATCACCAGCGTGTCCGAGGTTATAATGACTCCATTGACTCCTCATATGTAATACAATGTATTTATCGAGGCAACCAGTATTGGGTGAGATCAATAACAACAAGGGTCAGAACAGGGATATTTAGAACCGTTTTGGATTCTATTGCATTAGATGATCACTGGATGAAGAATACAAAAGGATCAGTACCTGAATGAATATTAGTGTGCGGAGTAAAGACTTCCAGCACTCGCTCCCAACCTACTCAGGGGTTCAACACATGCCCCGCGTCTTTACGACAGTCGTCAACAGTACCCGCGATGCCACACGCACTCGGCTCTCGTCCCAACTGTGCTGCTGCTATCCCTGATCTCTGAGCGCGTGGGGGTTGCATTACATCAGATCGAGCATGCGTATTGGCATATACGGCGATGTAAGCCTTCTCAATAAGAGTGCCTCCTACACTACGACATTTAGGGAAATGTTTACTATCCTTTTTCAAAGTAAATATAATAAAATCCACATTCTTTAATAACACAGGTGGTTTTGAAGCTCCAAAACTTTTTGACGACTATGCCGTCTTTTTTTAATCACCAGGTGCAAGTATGAGCCACTGATTTGCAACTATCCACCGAGGAACAGTCTCACCTTCAACCTGGCCTCGTTCATATGAAGGGAAAGAAGAGGAACACCAGGGACCTATCAAATGTTCAGGAGTCTGTCTTCTTCAATATTCCTACAAGTGGGTACAGGGTACTTCTGGTGCAATCAGTTCCAAGTCGTTGGCTAAATTATCCAGAGGGGTTTCTTCGTGGTCCAGCCCCTCCTCGTGATCAAGTCGGTGGTCTTCGTCAGTTGAAGTCAATCGTATTTCGAGCCTTGGCTCAGATCCAGTGGATCGGTATTGCTCGCTCCTGATGATTGGGCCCACAATGATATTTGAATTTGCAATTGGAATTTCTTCTTGGATTTGTGGTTCCATAGTTTCCTGGAGGTCAGCTTGTAATTTCGTTGAAGTCATCGGGAGGTAGTGGACCTTGGGCTGAGAAATCTCAGAGTTCACATATGTATGTGAAGCTGTGACATCATATTTTTCCACGCCTGCATCCCGGCTTCTCAAGGGTCGAACGTATCCATCATCCGGTTTCACTGGTATCATCCGCAGATAGTCCGTCTTGGTACGAAAATACTCGATGTTCCTTTCCTCGTACGGCTTGTTCATTTCCAGGTAGTGCTTAAGAGAACATGACAGAAATTATTCATATCTGGTTTCGAATCACCGGTCGGAAAAAAAAACGCTCACCTGAAGCTCAGACTCCGACAGCATCTCCCCGAACCATGCGCTCAACGTGGAGAAAGTCGGCCGGTTGCTCGGATACGCACGCCAACACTTTCTCATGATCTGGTAGCTGTACAACAAAGACCAACAATAGAGAAAAAATAGGAAGGAGCAGAAGTAAACGACCGATAAACAGCCAGGCCTTAGGTAAAACCAAGAGAGGTAGGTAAAACCAATATTGTCTCACATATTATCTTTGGCGTATTGAGGAGCATCCAAGCGATAGCCATCTTTAAGACGCTCGACGAGTTCCTGGCCGCTCATCCCAGGATAAGGGGTCATCCCAAGGCTAAACATTTCCCAAAGTGTTATACCATACGCCCAAACATCTGATTGGGGTGTAGAAACCATGTTCTCCGTGAGGGATTCTAATGCCATCCATTTTATCGGCAATGGACCCTAGATCGTTCAGATTCAATGCATCAGTAAGAACCTGATAAATCATGGACAATTACGACAATATAAAAGGCACGACTGTAACTCACAACCCCTTCCATAACGTACTGATTGTCTCTGTATATGTCTCTGGCAAGGCCAAAGTCACAAATTTTCACGATGTTTTCTTCTCCTAATAGAATGTTCCTTGCAGCAAGATCCCTGTGAACCACCTGAAAAAGTATGACAAATCACAATTTATTGTGTAGTACCTGAATTCAATATATTCAGTAACGTTTTTGCGTTTTCGATAATGGCTGTACTGAACATAATATACCCAAGTAGCAATATTGATACGTAATAAATCCATTGGACATACCTTCATGGTAACGTATTTCCTCCTTGGACATCCACTGGATGGACTAAATGTCTTGTTCAAGGATAATCCTTGGACATGTCCATTGGATGGCCTATTGGATGTCCTTTCTTGGATCCATTGGAGATTCCCTATTGGATAACCATTGAGGGATGCAGCTTTAGTAATCCCCAGGTAGCAGCAGAGCAAAATTTGCATGTAATGGATATTCTATCCAAGGGAGAGGAATACTTTCTGTACTTTTACGATCTCGCACACTCACATTTTTGGGAGGAGCTAGACGCGACGCGCCAAGATGGTATTACGGAGATGTAATTCTCAACTTCCCATCCTTATCTTTTCAATCAAGAAAGAGTTTATCATCGCCAAAGGTGACATGACCCGCTTATGAAAGGAATAGACATACGTAGCAAAGGAAACCACACTCGCTCCATGCAATTTGCATGAAACGCTGGGAGTCTCATTGAGTTACATTGCGCCTCTCAACAAATGAACTAATTTGAATGACTTCCTTCATTCGGCTTGTATATGAGAAATTATCGAGTAAGGAATGAGAGTTTTTTGCAGAACTATTCATTTGCATTAAGGAAATCAGAGATATACATTAGTCGGTTCATTGCCACCTCGCTTAATTTATTGGAACTTCATGTTTATTTAATGAACTGTTAGATGTCAGGCCAGATGGAGGGTCTCAACGGGTGGGGACTCCGTCCAAGGACATCCATGGGCAGATCGTGAGAGGATGTCCTTGGAAGTTCCTTAGCTGACCTTCCAATGGATGTCCAAAGATGGACTGATATCATTTCGTTCGTAATGTCTAAATCTAAATGAAATCATGTACCGATGCAATTATTATGTCACACTATCAATACATTGAACTAACTGGTGGCGCCTTCGGCGCTCTATTACCTTGGATAGTGATTAATTCATTCATTTTTTTGCGAAATGGGAA